TTCTCGAGTCACAATCCCACCCGTCGGCTGCGCTGTCCGGCTCCATCCGTCCTCTTCACAAGCAGGCAAGCCGCCCTCCACGAGCAGGCAAGCCTCGGCTGCGCTGTCCGGCTCCCGTCCGTTCAAGTAATCCTCCCGGGGGGAGGGGGGGGGGAGGATTACTTCTGATCCAACCCAGCCCTCCTTCTCCCCGTGTCCCTTACCTTTGCTAAGCTCATACATACTCCTGCATAGGTCCCTTTGCATGCAGGGAAACGCTCCTCTAATGTTTATCTCCCCCTATTTGTTGTACCGATACACAGAGTCCCACAGTCTAAACAGTGTAATTTCAACCTGACTACATTTTTTACACCACCTGTGCTCCTACTATACATCTCATCGCTTAGATGACACTAGGAAGGCAGTAATAGCAGATTGACCAATGTATCCATTGAGCCAAACCACTACCCTGTAACTGTAATGTGCACATTGTACTGTATGCATGTATTTGTGTTTTTCTACACCCCTGATTTCCTCAGGAGATGTTGTAATGCTGTTGGGGTGACCGCCCCCCTGTACCGTTGTACTAAGCACTTGTCAAATAAAGTTGACTTCTGATTTAAAAAAAAAAAAAAAAAGGAAGGGGGCGGGGGATTAAAGTGACTGTTTCTTTAAATGTAAACATTTAAAGTCAAGCACCATCATTGACAGTGGAACTGTTTCTTTAAATGGAAAAAAAATAGTCAAACGCAAGTAAGCAATCACAAATGTTTTGGGGCTTTTTTCCTTAACATAGTAAGATATATTTAGGATATAATAAATATGATGTCATATATAATAAAATGATATCAAATGAATTTGGGTACCGGGTTGCATGATTGAGTAACACTATCACAGAAGTGAAAACTGTAAAATGATCAGGCAATGAAGGGGTCTATACAGGCTCAAGTGGTTAAGGTCAGGACCTTGATGTAAATAAATGACACCTTGTGGAGTTCAGTTATGAAAGTGTCAGCTCGAATCTGATTGGCTGCCGTGTGAGCCCATGACACTTTCCTCCAATGTGTGTGCATTGTGTTTCTACAAAGATGATAAGTAGCACATCAATATAAAGATGTGGCCATTGAACATAACATTACCAGAGTCACATTACCAGTTTTCAGGGAAGCCGTGCAGGAGGAGCATTAATGGGCTCCCTTTCTCTCCAGATGCCACATAATGGAAGCGTATCCCGGAACTCTGTTTAAAACAAAGAGCAGAACATTACTGAATGCCACCGAGGGTACCTACACACAAAAATAAACAGAGGAACCTTTGCATGTCTGTAGGCCTGCCCTAAAGACCAACTTGCCTAACTTTTGGTAGGCATTCCCACTAAAATGAATAGAGTTCAAGCCACACTAGTGGAGAGGTGAGGGCAGTGACGAGATTCTGTAGAGTTGTTGTGTGGCAGCCTGGCAGGTCACGTGGCCTAAAAGAGATCTAAAGCAAACCTTTTTTGGGCTTTTGGGTCACAGGTGTGCATTCACTAATGTATGACCGCGTTTCCCCGAAAGTAAGACCTACCCCGAAAATAAGACCTAGCGCTATCTTCAGGTCTTAGGTCCTAGGTCTTACTTTCGGGGTAGCTGCACATATACCGTGTTTCCCCGAAAATAAGATAGTGTCTTATATAAGTAAGACCTAGCGGATCTCTGTAATATAAGACCTACCACCGAACTAGGTCTTATTTTCGGGGTAGGTCTTATATTACAGAAATCCCGGACGATAGTGCTAGGTCTTTTTTTCGGGGTAGGCCTTACTTTCCGGGAAACACGGTAATAGAATTTTACATGACCGGCCGCAGCTCCCTCCCCCGCCCGCACGCACGCACCTACACCCACCTGTCTGCCTCGGCTGCCGCTGAAGACTACATTTCCTAGCAGGCACAGCGCGGCATAGCCAGTGGGGTCGAAGTGGACGGCATCAGAGCGGAGAGCGGACAGCTGCAGCCAGGTAAATATAAGACATCCCCCGAATATAAGACCTAGTGTCTTTTTTCATTGAAAAAAAAATATAAGACAGTGTCTTATTTTCGGGGAAACACGGTACTTTGACCCAAACACAGCTTATAGTAGGCTACTGTCCGCCATATGCTGACAGTGCAGAGCCATACTGCAGCAAAAAAGGATCACAACAATACTGCCAGGATCCACCCTGCTGCCTGATTGACAGCTGGATTTGCCTCTCTATAGCCAGAGCCAGCTATGCCCGCCCCCTTCCTTGTCTGTTGGGATCCAACCACTGCCTGATTGACAGCTGGCTTTGCCTCTCTATAGCCAGAGCCAGCTATGCCCGCCCCCTTCCTTGTCTGTTGGGATCCAACCACTGCCTGATTGACAGCTGGCTTTGCCTCTCTATAGCCAGAGCCAGCTATGCCCGCCCCCTTCCTTGTCTGTTGGGATCCACCCACTGCCTGATTGACAGCTGGCTTTGCCTCTCTATAGCCAGAGCCAGCTATGCCCGCCCCCTTCCTTGTCTGTCGGGATCCACCCACTGCCTGATTGACAGCTGGCTTTGCCTCTCTATAGCCAGAGCCAGCTATGCCCGCCCCCTTCCTTGTCTGTCGTGACCCACCCACTGCCTGATTGACAGGTGGCTTTGCCTCTCTATAGCTAGAGCCAGCTATGCCCGTTCCATTAGTGACTCTCCTTTAAGTGTCATAGTTCATCTGCAGAATTGCAGCTGAGCTGTTACTTGTAATTCTACGAGTATATACAGACCTCTTACCCCTGGTTCTGCAGGCGTGCTGTTGCTTGTAGTCCACCAGGCATGCGCTCTAAACCTGACTCACTCTTCCACCAGTCTAGCAGCTTTAGTAGGCGTCAGCTGACCTCTCTTGCTGTTTCTTATGCAGCTTCTCGACCAATCAGCGCAGTCTGCTTGTGGCCAATCCTGTGGTTCCTCTCTCTTGCTGACTCTATTTCTCTTGACCCCCCGCGCGGTTGCAAATTAACCTGAATTCCTTGGAGTTTGCCCTTTGGCTTGTCCCTGCAAATCCTTGTCCTCAGTCTGCCCTGAACTTTGACTTGTCCCTGCTGATCCCAGTCTTCAGTCTGTACCTATTGTTTGGACTGTCCCTGGAAGTCCTAGTGATCTGTCTGTCCCTGACCTTGGTTTTGTCCTCTGTTGTACGTGTGTCTGCAACCTGTCCAGAACTCTGGCCTTGTCCACCATTCTTGGCTGTTAGGCGAGTTGGGTGAACCTAGGGATTGTGACCTGAGGTCAGCACGCAGCCAAGCCCATCTCCACCATCAGGAGCTCTGGGGAACAACGGCTGGCCCTTAGATTCCACATCCTGGGGGACCCCATGCCACCTACCTAGCAATGCAGCACCCTGCCCTGTACCTTGACCTACCAGCCTATTCTGTCTTCCACTGTCTCATTCAGTTCCCCTGCTCTGTTCCCTGAGGGAGAGGGACCCTAAGAAGCGCAGTTACCTTTTAATACGACGGGTCTCACCTTTATCCGGATGTATCCATGCTGCCCATGCTTGCTGCTTGTTAAGCAGGGAGGAGCAGTCTTGCGTGTCTGCCAGTAAAACGCCTTGAATGGTCTTCTGGCTACAAGTCTCAGGGCATCAGGCAGGTAAGAGGCCGCCGCCAACAGAGAGGCAACATAAACCAGAACCCAGAAAAGAACGCCCGACACCCGCAGGGCAGCCCGCGTGACCATGAGGAGGAGGCGAGAGACATAGAACTGCATTCTGTATCCTCAGCCTGTAGAAGAAAAAAAAACAACTGTCAATTTCCTTAAAGTGGACCTGTCGGCAAGTTTAAAAGTCTGCAATGAACTCCTAACGTGTCACTAAACACCGATCGGCCATAACATTATGAACACATTTTGCCGCTAAAACAGCCCTGACCCGTCCAGGCCTGGACTCCACTAGACCTGAAGGTGTGCTGTGGTATCTGGATGACCCCCCTAATATTGAGTAGGATCCTCTTTTCCTAACCGATCCAGGCATGGACTCCACTAGACCTCTGAAGGTATGCTGTGATATCTGGATGACCCCCTCCCCTAATATTGAGTAGGACCCCCTTTTCCTGACCCGTCCAGTCATGGACTCCACTAGACCTCTGAAGGTATGCTGTGATATCTGGATGACCCCCTCCCCTAATACTGAGTAGGACCCCCTTTTCCTGACCCGTCCAGTCATGGACTCTACTAGACCTGAAGGTATGCTGTGGTATTTGGATGACCCCCTCCCCTAATATTGAGTAGGACCCCCTTTTCCTGACCCGTCCAGTCATGGACTCCACTAGACCTGAAGGTATGCTGTGGTATCGGGATGACCCCCTCCCCTAATATTGAGTAGGACCCCCTTTTCCTGACCCGTCCAGTCATGGATACCACTAGACCTCTGAAGGTATGCTGTGGTATCTGGATGACCCCTTCCCCTAATACTGAGTAGGACCCCCTTTTCCTGAACCATCCAGGCATGGCCTCCACTAGACCTCTGGAGGTATGCTGTGGTATCTGGCACCAAGCCGTCAGTAGAAGATCCTTTAAGTCCTGTAAGTTGTGAGGTGATCGACCTCCATGGATCGGACTTGTTCTTCCAGCACATCCCACAGATGATCGATTGGATTGAGATCTGGAGAATTTGGAGGCCAAGTCATAACCTCAGACTCATTGTTGTGTTCCTCAAACCATATTAAAACCATTTTTGCAGTGGGGCAGGGCACATTATCCTGCTGAAAGAGGCCACTGCTTCCATGGAGGGGTGTACTTGGTCAGTGACAATGTTTAGGTCGGTGGTACGTGTCAAAGTGACATCCACATGAATGGCGGGACCCAAGGTTTGTCACACACAAGGGTGGCTCCATATGACCCTGCTAGGGAAAGGAGCCACACACAGCTTACTAGCACACACACAAGCGTGACTACATAGGACCCTGCAAGAAAAAAGAGCCACCCTAAAACAGGATATCAGGACCGGTGCTCAGTGGATCGGCTGAATCTGCAAGAAACTTTTAAACATCAAGGAGCAGCGTCCATTGTAAGTGATTTCATCAGCATCTGAAAGTAGATCAAAAACCTTTTGACTTTACTATCACTTTAAAAAGGAAATGGATACACACACATACTCTGTGTCACTTCAGTTACTGTTGTTAGACGTTACTGCACATTCATCGGTCCCCATGCACATCAATGTACGCGGTCAACGCGTTTCGTAGATTCAATCCACTTTATCAGGGCTCGGAGTGAAAGGGTTAATTGATGATGATGATTATAGCCGGATATTACATCTAAAAATAACCAAAAATTAAAAACATAAAAATTTCATAAATGCACATTTTCTTTTATTAATGCGGGTTTGGCGTCATTCGCGTCCAATTGCGTTCGCTAATATGCTTAATAAATGCCCCCAATGTGTACACCTCCCGCTGCCAGAGAGCGACAGTCCTGCCGCAAGGGTCTGGTAGGACAAAGCTGGGACTTGTGGTTCCCCAACAGCAGGAAGATGCACCTTACTTACTTCTGGGCTGAATGGCAGGAGGACTTCTAGTCCCAGCATGCTCTGCCAGCATATGATAATAAAGAGCACACTGGGAGTCTCAGTTCTACAAATTGCCACAGCCTGAGATACAATCCCCTGCCCATCAGAAATATCATTTTATCCGCCATTGTTTAAAAAAACTGACACACAATGTCACAACACCATCACCTGCCAGTCCTGACTCCTTCTGTCTTCCACTTTCCAGAGGACATTTCATAAGCCCCGCCCGCTCCACGTTTTCTAAAAGCCCATTTGTTCGTTACGCTGTCTGTCTCCTCACCGAGCCGCGCTATTGGATAACCTAGAGACCTCTAGCAAAATAGATAGTACCTTTGTGGTTTGGCTGAAAAGCAAAATAGTCACACGGTGGGCGGGACGAGCGGATGGGCTGTCGCTGATTGGCTGAGTGAGGAACCCTGCCCGGGTAATAATACTGGTAGACGGACGGCTGCTCTGTTTGATTGACACGTAAGCTGGCCTATAAAAGGCTAGTAGAATCTGAGGCGATTTATTCTAGGCAATATACAGGAAGCTTGTGAGCTCAGCTGTCAATGTCTTCAGTTGCCATGGAGACTGTCTCTCTGTGCTGTTAGAGCACGATGCAGTGCTAGGGAGGGGGGAAGTCATTTGGAAGTGTGCACATATATTATTTATCATGTCCACCAGAATGAGAAAGCAAAGTATATGAAGCAAGGACTTCAAAAAATATAAAAGCAAAAGTGTTCTCATCTGTACATAATGCCCCCATCATACCCTCCGCACTCCTCTCCTGTACATACTACCCCCCATAATACCCTCCACACTCCTCTCCTGTACATACTGACCCCATAATGCCCTCCACACTCCTCTCCTGTACATACTGCCCCCATAACACCCTCCACACTCCTCTCCTGTACATACTGCCCCCATAATACCCTCCACACTCCTCTCCTGTACATACTGCCCCCATAATACCCTCCACACTCCTCTCCTGTACATACTGCACCCATAATACCCTCCACACTCCTCTCCTGTACATACTGACCCCATAATACCCTCCGCACATCTCTACTGTACATACTACCCCCCATAATACCCTCCACACTCCTCTCCTGTACATACTGCCCTCATAATACCCTCCACACTCCTCTCCTGTACATACTACCCCCATAATGCCCTCCACACTCCTCTGCATACTGCCCCCATAATGCCCTCCACACTCTTCTCCTGTACATACTGACCCCATAATACCCTCCAGACTCCTCTCCTGTACATACTGACCCCATAACACCCTCCACACTCCTCTCCTGTACATACTGACCCCATAATACCCTCCACATTCCTCTCCTGTACATACTGACCCCATAATACCCTCCGCACTCCTCTCCTGTACATACTGCCCCCATAATAACCTCTGCACTCCTCTCCTGTACATACTGCCCCTATAATACCCTCCACACTCCTCTCCTGTACATACTGACCCCATAATACCCTCCGCATTCCTCTCCTGTACATACTGACCCCATAATACCCTCCGCACTCCTCTCCTGTACATACTGCCCCCATAATACCCTCCACACTCCTCTCCTGTACATATTGACCCCATAATACCCTCCGCATTCTTCTCCTTTACATACTGACTCCATCATACCCTCCGCACTCCTCTCCTGTACATACTGCCCCCATAATGCCCTCCCCACTCCTCTCCTCTGCATACTGCCCCCATAATACCCTCCACACTCCTCTCCTGTACATACTGACCCCATCATACCCTCCACACTCCTCTCCTGTACATAACGCCCCCATCATACCCTCCACAGTCCTCTCCTGCACAAAACACCCCCATCATACCCTATACACTCCTCTCCTGCACATAATATCCCCATAATGCCCTCCCCACTCCTCTCCTCTGCATACTGCCCCCATAATACCCCCCACACTCCTTCCCCATAATACCCTCCGCATTCCTCTCCTGTACATACTGACCCCATAATACCCTCCGCACTCCTCTCCTGTACATACTGCCCCCATAATACCCTCCACACTCCTCTCCTGTACATACTGACCCCATAATACCCTCCACACTCCTCTCCTGTACATACTGCACCCATAATACCCTCCACACTCCTCTCCTGTACATATTGACCCCATAATACCCTCCGCATTCTTCTCCTTTACATACTGACTCCATCATACCCTCCGCACTCCTCTCCTGTACATACTGCCCCCATAATGCCCTCCCCACTCCTCTCCTCTGCATACTGCCCCCATAATACCCTCCACACTCCTCTCCTGTACATACTGACCCCATCATACCCTCCACACTCCTCTCCTGTACATAACGCCCCCATCATACCCTCCACAGTCCTCTCCTGCACAAAACACCCCCATCATACCCTATACACTCCTCTCCTGCACATAATATCCCCATAATGCCCTCCCCACTCCTCTCCTCTGCATACTGCCCCCATAATACCCCCCACACTCCTCTCCTGTACATACTGACCCCATCATACCCTCCACACTCCTCCCCTGCACATAACACCCCAATCATATCCTCCACGCTCCTCTCCGGCACATACTGCCCCCCCTCCACACTCCTCTCCTGCACATAACAACCCCCATCATACCCTCTGCACTCCTCTCATGTACATAACGCTGCCATCATACCCTCCGCACTCCTCTCCTGCACATACTGCCCCATCATACCCTCCACACTCCTATCCTGCACATAACACCCCCATCATACCCTCCCCACTCCTCTCCTGTACATAATGCCCTCATCATACCCTCCACACTCCTCTCCTGCACATATGCCCTCATTATACCCTCCGCTCTCCTGCACAAAACACCCCCATCATACCCGACACACTCCTCTCCTGCACATAATATCCCCATCATACCCTCCACACTCCCCTCCTGCACATAACACCCCAATCATACCCTCCACACTCCTCTCCGGCACATACTGACCCCATCATACCCTCCACAATCCTCTCCTGCACATAACAACCCCATCATACCCTCTGCATTCCTCTCCTGTACGTAAGACTGCCATCATACCCTCCGCACTCCTCCCCTGCACATAACGCCCCCATCATGCCCTCCGCACTCCGCTCCTGCACATAATGCCCCATCATACCCTCCACACTCCTCTCCTGCACATAATGCCCCCATTATACCCTCCACACTCCTCTCCTGCACATACTGCTCCATCATCCCCTCTGCACACCTCTCCTGTACATAACGCTGCCATCATACCCTCCTTACTCCTCTCCTGCACATAACACCCCCATCATACCCTCTGTACTCCTCTCCTGCACATAATATCTCCATCATACCCTCCACACTCCCCTCCTGCACATAACACCTCAATCATACCCTCCACAGTCCTCTCCTGCACCTAACACCCCCATCATACCCTCCACACTCCTCTCCTGCACATAATGCCCCATCATACCCTACACACTCCTCTCCTGCACATAATGCCCCATCATACCCTCCACACTCCTGCACAAAACACCCCATCATACCCTCCACACTCTTCTCCTGCACATAATGCCCCATCATATCCTCCAGACTCCGCTCCTGCACATAATGCTCCATCATACCCTCCACACTCCTCTCCTGCACATAATGCCCCATCATACCCTCCACACTCCTCTCCTGCACATAATGCCCCATCATATCCTCCACACTCCGCTCCTGCACACAATGCCCCATCATATCCTCCACACTCCGCTCCTGCACATACAGCCCCATCATACACTCCACACTCCTCTCCTGCACATACGGCCCCCATCATACCCTCTGCACACCTCTCCTGCACATACTACCCCTCATCATACCCTCCACACTCCGCTCCTGTACATACTGACCCCATAATACCCTCCACATAGCACAGCATACAGAATGTGAGATACAAATGACACTGAAATCTATCTCTCCATTCCATAACTCACCCCCTCGGTGTCCTTGCGTGTCACTAATCTACTCACTGACATATCAGTCCAGATGTCACAACACTCAACCTTTCAAAAACATCATGTAACACAACTATCCCTCCCTCCCCCCATGCTAAGGTGCTAGGTGTGAACGTGGACTCCGACCTCACCTTTCTACCCCACATCCAATCACTATCCAAATCCTGCCGCCTTTTCACCTTCGTAGCATCTCCAAAATACGCCCCTTCCTCACCAATTAAACCACTTAATTAATCAATCCATTCCCTTGTTATCTCTCGTCTTGACTATTGTAACTCCCTTCTCATTGGCCGACCTCTGCACAGGCTCGTCCCCCATTCAGTCTATCATGAATGTTACTACTAGACTCATCCACCTAACCAACCGCTCAGTGTCTGCAACCCCCCTCTGCCAATCCCTCCACTGGCTTCCATCCCCTGCCCCCTCTGCCAATCCCTCCACCGGTTTCCATCCCCTGCCCCCTCTGCCAATCCCTCCACCGGTTTCCATCCCCTGCCCCCTCTGCCAATCCCTCCACCGGTTTCCATCCCCTGCCCCCTCTGCCAATCCCTCCACCGGTTTCCATCCCCTGCCCCCTCTGCCAATCCCTCCACCGGTTTCCATCCCCTGCCCCCTCTGCCAATCCCTCCACCGGTTTCCATCCCCTGCCCCCTCTGCCAATCCCTCCACCGGTTTCCATCCCCTGCCCCCTCTGCCAATCCCTCCACCGGTTTCCATCCCCTGCCCCCTCTGCCAATCCCTCCACCGGTTTCCATCCCCTGCCCCCTCTGCCAATCCCTCCACCGGTTTCCATCCCCTGCCCCCTCTGCCAATCCCTCCACCGGTTTCCATCCCCTGCCCCCTCTGCCAATCCCTCCACCGGTTTCCATCCCCTGCCCCCTCTGCCAATCCCTCCACCGGTTTCCATCCCCTGCCCCCTCTGCCAATCCCTCCACCGGTTTCCATCCCCTGCCCCCTCTGCCAATCCCTCCACCGGTTTCCATCCCCTGCCCCCTCTGCCAATCCCTCCACCGGTTTCCATCCCCTGCCCCCTCTGCCAATCCCTCCACCGGTTTCCATCCCCTGCCCCCTCTGCCAATCCCTCCACCGGTTTCCATCCCCTGCCCCCTCTGCCAATCCCTCCACCGGTTTCCATCCCCTGCCCCCTCTGCCAATCCCTCCACCGGTTTCCATCCCCTGCCCCCTCTGCCAATCCCTCCACCGGTTTCCATCCCCTGCCCCCTCTGCCAATCCCTCCACCGGTTTCCATCC